TACTGATCGCTAACGTACACTAGCCGTTGGATACGACTAAAACTTCAGTGCCCCTCCCGACCTCCCGCGGTTTACTGCGATAGCGTTCGGCGTTTCTACCTTGGCGCGGCCAGCGACAATAATTACTGCACGCAATACCGGCGCAGACGCCCCGGCCTTGGATCGGACGTCGGTAGAGGTAACGATGAGGCATGCACCTCGAGAGCGCTCGATATTTATTCAGAGCATACATTTTTCTGAACAAGGGCTCATTATTGCTTAGCAATCAAATAAATGATTGACGAAATAAAAATTTAACATCATGTTATAAAATATATAAATAACGTGGTTAGCGATTGCATCATGTAGCTAATTCAATAAAAAAATTTAAAAAATATAAAGTGATCACACAAACTTATCCTAGTTTGTGCTTAATATCTTAGTATCACAAAAGTGTACCGTAACCAGGTATTTGTACCAATTGCACTATTCGTACCATAGTTTATCAAAATATGTGAGTATCGTGTAATTCAGTTCATGGCAATCCCCTTAACCCAAAATTTGTACAATTTTAGTATGTTAATTTATTTATTATTTTTATGTTATAAATAATAATATTAAACAGAAAAAAAACAAGTAAATACAGATTTTCCAATAAAAAATAGTTATTATTTTAAGTCCAATGTCCATTCTAATGGACAAGCCCTCCCTTTTGAAGTAAAAAGATCTAATGACCATTAAATTCATCAAAATAGTGTTTTTGTAAAAAAAATTACTACATAAAGAAAACAAATTTTTTTTTCTATCTGTGGAATTGAAAAGGTTAAGTCTACAAGTGTAAATTTGTGGGGTTATGGATGTTTCAATGGAGCACAAGCCATCACGCAAACTACGCCACTAATCAATTGTTTCCTATTTAATAGTATAAAGTTATTGACATTTCAAGGAAAATACCAAGGTTTTGTATTATTATATTTATAGTTTAAGTATCCTGTTAACCAAGTTGAATTTTTCACGTTGTATTAATCAATAAATCAAAAATGTTACTAAATTTTTAATTACACAAATAAAATATATTTTTTATTTAAATTTGATCGTTTTTTAAATAAATTAAAAAAAAACATTAAAAATAATCGAAAATTATTTTAGAATAATAATAGCATATTATCCATATTTTGTATAACAATAATATATAAATTATATTATTATATTTATATATGACATATGATAAAAATTGCTATTTACTTTTACATTTTTTAAATTAAAAAAGATTTAATACAATGAATTAAAAAAACCCAGCACAGGGGGATCGCGGCACAGTGGTGACGTAGCATAGTTGGATAAGTATTGTGATATCTGACAGTGATTAAAATCACTATAAAAAAAAACGCTTCGATGCAAATCTTTAGATACTGTTTAATTTTAAAAAATTGGTGGACTATTCCAAAAGCTACATTATCTGCTAGTTCATTATTAATATCCTAATTAAGATAAAGTATGTAGAATGAAAAAGGGATTATTAAAAAATATTATTTCTCATAAAAAATTTATGTTGATCCATACATTTTTCAAAAAATGATAGCATAATAAAGTTGAAAATAGAAAATAGAAAATCGAAAATTTTCACACAAAAATAGCATTCGGTAGCCATTTTCACCGTGAAGATAAGATAAAATCTGACATTTTTTTTTTCATGATAAAGTATATTACATTAGCTTTAATTTAAGTTATATATAAAAGTGTCAGACTTTCCGGAACATTTTCAAAATTTAAGTTGAAAAAGTAAATTTTTTGTAAAAAAGTTGTCATTTTGAATCCCCCCCTGTAGGCAGGCAAAAAGTCAGATTTATAAAAAACATGTACCAACTGATAGGTAAAGACATCATGCAACTATAAAAATTATATTGATCCATTCGTTTTAGCTTCGATGCGAAGCTGAGAAGGTATTGGTTTTACTAAGATGTGTTTATTTTTTTTTTTTTGTGTCTGTTACCACTTTTTCTTAGCTCTCACCGAACCAATATCTTTCAATGATACGTCAAAAGATCACAAATTGTATCTAGTCGAAGACATTACCCTCAAAAATTGAAAAAAATGCCCTCGTTCCCCGTAAATGGGGGAAACCTCCAAAAAAATTACTTTTAAATAAAAATTAAAAAAAAAAAAAAAATTAGCGATTAAAAATCGCTAATTTTCGAAATTTTTTCAATTTTTTTTACTTAAAAGTGCCATAACTTTTTTAAAAATGAACATATCAATATAATTCTTTTTTATATAGATGCATAATATCATTACCTTTCATTTGGTATATTTTTTTCATAAATTTAACCCTTAACCTGCCCACAAGGGGGGATTTAAAATGACAACTTTTTCACAAAAAATTAATTTTTTTAACTTAAATTTTGAAAATGTTCCGGAAGGTCTGACACTTTTATATATATCTTAAATTAAAGCTAATGTAATATGCTTTATCATGAAAAAAAAAAATTTCGGACTTTATCTTATCTTCATGGTGAAAATGGCTACCGAATGCTATTTTTGTGTGAAAATTTTCGATTTTGTATTTTCCATTTTTAACTTTATTATGCTATAACTTTTTGAAAAATGTATGAATCATTACAATTTTTTTATGAGAAGTAGTATTTATATAGATCTTTCATTCGACATACTGTTTTTTTAAATCGGACCATTTCCCTAAATACAGGGGGGATTCAAAACATAAAAATGCATATAGAAAGTAGAACTTTTTCAACGTAACTTTTGAAAGTGTTCCGGAAGGTCTGACACTTTTATATATATCTTAAATTAAAGCTAATGTAATATACTTTATAATGGTAAAAAAAAATTTCGGACTTTATTTTATCTTCATGGTGAAAACAGACATTAAACTTAATAAAAAAAATACGATTTTTGTAAAAAAATTCTTTTTTATATTTTTAACTTTATAATGCTATAACTTCTCGAAAGATGTATGGATCAATATAATTCTTTTTTTTGTAGATGCATGATGTCTTTACCTATCATTTGGTATATTTTTTTTATAAATCTGACTTTTGACCTGCCTACAGGGGGGGATTCAAAATGACAACTTTTTCACAAAAAATTGACTTTTTCAACTTAAATTTTGAAAGTGTTCCGGAAAGTCTGACACTTTTATATATATATTAAATTAAAGCTAATGTAATTTACTTTATTATGCGAAAAAAAAATTTCGAACTTTATTTTATCTTCACGGTGAAAATGGCTACCGAATGCTATTATTGTGTGAAAATTCTCGATTTTATTTTTTACATTTTTAACTTTATAATGCTATGACATATTGAAAAGTGTATGGATCAACATCATTTTTTTATGAGAAATAATATTTTTTAATAATCCCTTTTTCATTCTACATACTTTATCTTAATTAGGATATTAATAATGAACTAGCAGATAATGTAGCTTTTGGAATAGTCCACCAATTTTTTAAAATTAAACACTATCTAAAGATTTGCATCGAAGCGTTTTTTTTTGATAGTGATTTTAATCACTGTCAGATATCATTATAC